ACAAGTTTATTTTTGAGTTTTTTCCCAAAATGGTCCCTCGACTATTGCTCATTCTCAATTTTGCATTTAGACTTTTAATTGCACCTAATGTGGTCCCTTGACTTTAAAAACTCCCCCAGTCTATTGAGTGTTAAAATGAAGGGCATTTTCGTCCATTTACCCATTATATCCCTAATATACTCTGAAAAATAGTCAAGGGACCATTTTAGGAATAGTCGAGGGATCATTTTTGAGAAAAACTCGTTTATTTATTTCATTTTTATTTATTTCCATTTCTGTAAGACTATCAAATTAGAGTTTCTATACATTTTTTTTTACAAATATAAATAGTTAAAATCCACAATCAAACCTCAAAATTTTAAACTTTCTATACAAATTTGTTCCTTCTGTCTAAACATACAAACTTTTCCTCTAATCCTATCAAGTTTTACAATAAGTTCTGTAAATTTCAAAAATATAATACTCATATACTTTTTATGTTCTCACACACACACACACTAAAACTTCAATAGACAACCAATCACTATGTATCATATTAAATATTATTTTTACCATTGAAAATAACACTACTATTTTTATCAGTTTAGACACCCAAAATGTACTCTTCACTTCTCGGTCACTATGCCTTTTGAAAATAAAATTATTATTTTTACAATCAATCACTATGCTCTGGCACTTCTTTGAACTGAGAAGTACGCGTCACTTCTCGGTCAATGACAAAATCTTAGAAAATATTTTTGGAAAGTTGGCTTAACTTAGCCTGTAAGGCCATTAGTTTCATTCCAAAGTTAGTACAAACTATAGCTACCATTTCCAAATGCCTATCTACCCAGAAGTACATCATGCTAAAGAGAGTCTAGAACTATGGCTATCAATTTTATGTCTTAAAGGACAAGTAAAATAAACCAAATGCAAAAATAATTAGCACAAAACAAACAATTCTAAACCTAAAGTCTCATTATTTACCAATATTACAAGTTCTTGTCATTTTGAAGTTTGTTTGTATTTTATATATGAATGTTAACAAACTTAAATTTGAAATTTAAACTTGTTTACCATAGTACGTAAACAAATAATAATTTTATTTTAACTATAAAAATAATATTTAATGTAATACATAGTGATTGATTGTCTTTTAAAGTTTTAATATGATTATATATATATATATATATATATATATATATATATATATATATATATATATATATATATATATATTAGTATTTATGAATGTTACGAAATTTATTGTAAAACTTGATAGGGATAGGGGAAAAATTTGTACGTTTAGACAAAAAGAAAAACATTGTAGAGAACGTTTAAAATTTTGAGATTTGATTGTGGATTTTAACTATTTATATTTGTAAGAAAAAAAATGTATAGAAATTCTGATTTTATAGTGTTAAAAAATGGAAATAAAGAAATGAGTTTTTCTCAAAATGATCCCTCGACTATTTCCAAAATGGTCCCTCGACTATTTTCCAGAGTATATTAGGCATATAATAGGTGAATGGACGAAAATGCCCTTCATTTTAACACTCAATAGATGGAATTTCTAACGGAGGACCAATTTGGGGGAGTTTTTAAAAGTCAAGGAACCACATTGGGTGCAATTAAAAGTCGAAATGCAAAATTGAGAATAAGCGATAGTCGAGGGACCATTTTGGGAAAAAACTCTTTATTTTTAGTATATTACAAATCAAAATAAACATGATATACCCAAAAAAAAAAAACACAATATACTAAAAGCAATTCTATTCTATATTGGGTTTATGGTTGAAAAAATCGTTAGGCGCTCGAGGGGTGCCTAGCGCCTATGACACCTAGGCGGCGACTAATCGGTGCCTAGGCGCCAGTTTATTTTTATTTTTATTTTTATTTATTAAAAAATTGTTTAAATTTATTTAATTTTTAAAAATTTGATAATTATAAACTATTTAATACTTTTAATAGTTAATATTAAAACATTAAATATTAACCTAAAAAACATCTAGAGTTTGGACATTTATGGTTATTTTGTTCAAAATAATACTGTTTTGAGTGAAATAACATATTTTAAAAGAAGAGAACAATAGTTAATCGACCGACTATGCGACCTAATCGGTGTCTAGCTAGTCGGTGCATAGAAGGCCTAGATGGTTAGCGCTTAGGCAGCCTAGTCAGTTAATCGCTTAGACCACCGATTATGGTGATATGCTAAGCGGCCAATTAACGCCTAACGCTAAGGTGCCGATTAATCAATGCCTATGCGAAAATTTTACAACACTGACTGGTTCCATATTAACCTTGATCCACCACAGCTTAAGCATCGATTAACCCCCACCAGACTAATTTATATTCTATTGCTAATAATTAAAGCCCCTATTAATACTATGTTGATCAAGGAATCATTTTGGTAATTAACTTTAGACATTTTCAATTTTGGTTCTTAACTTTGTTATTTTTATCGGTTTTGGTCTTTTCGATCAAATTGACAGTAAAATATTGTCGGATTTTATATTTTTAGGGATAAAATCTTGATCTCAAGAAAACGCCTTCAATATCTAAACAAAACCACTGTAAAATCATATTTATATGTGTTTGATCGATAAGACTAATGGGGAAGACGGGCAGAACTAGCCATAGATCTATGGGATTTATAACGTCGACGAGTTAATTACCAAAATGGTCCCTTGACTATAGTGGAATTACCAATTTGGTTCTTGACTATTTTTTGATCAATTAAGTCCCCCAACTTTAAAAATCATAACCAATTTGGTCCTCCGTTAGTTTTTCTGTTTGGGTTCTATTAACTTGGGACCAAACTGGTAATTTTACTATAGTCAAGTGACCATTTTGGTAATTAAGTTTCGAATTTTTCAATTTTGGTGCTTAACTTCGGTTTTTTATTTTATTTTATTAGTTTTAGTCCTTTCGATCAAATTGACAGCAAAATATTGTCAGATTTTATATTTTTAGGGGTAAAATCTTGATCTCAAGGAAACGTCTTCAATATCTAAACAAAACCACTGTAAAATCATATCTATATGTGTTTGATCGATGAGACTAATGGGGAAGACGGACAGAACTAGCCATATATCTATAGGATTTATAACGTCGACGATTGACAAACTCTTCTTTTTCTCTTAATATGATTTTTCTTTTGTTTATATATTAAAAATATTTTCTTGAGATGATGATTTTGTCCTTAAAATATAAAATCCAGCAACATTTCGCCGTTAATTTGGCTGAAAGGACCAAAATTGATAAAAATAACAAAGTTAGGCACCAAAATTGAAAAATTTTAATATTGTGCACCAAAAGTGATAAAACCTCAAAAATCGTGGGACTGAAAATGAAATTAATTCAAACGTTAATTATCAAAATGGTCCCTTGACTATAGTAAAATTACCAATTTGTTCCCAAATTAACAGAACCCTAACAAGGACCAAATTGGTTAAGATTTTTAAAATTGAGAGGCTTAATTGGTTAAAAAAAATAATCAATGATTAAATTGGTAATTTCACTATAGTCAAAGGACCATTTCGATAATTAACTCTTTATGATATATATATATATATATATATATATATATATATAGACGCACTCAGGTGCGAATAAGTGCCCAGGAAGGAAATGCGAACGAATCAGCGCGCGACACGTGTCCAGATCTAATAACTTAAAAAAAAAGCGGTGGCATTTTCGTAAATAATTGAACATCGAAGTGCAAGTAAAATCTCTTATAAGTGCACCTATTTTCACCTTATAAGTGTATGTAATTTTGCCTTGTTAGCATTCACTTTCCGCAACCATTCATGCACCTGGGTGTTCTTATAACTATATATGTAACTATTTATAACTATAGGTGCAACTACTTATAACTATAGGTGCACCTACTTTCACCTATAAGTGCATGTAATCTTGTCTTGTTAACATTCATTGATCTGAGTTCAGCGGGTAGTAATACTCCTGAAAACCACTCGCAAACATTCATACACCTAGATGCAACTACTTATACCTATGTGTGCAACTACTTAGAACTATAGGTGCAACTACTTAGAACTATAAGTGCAACTAAGTATTGATGCTCAGTGTAAATTTTTACTTGCACCTATAATACATTTTACATGCACTTGTAATACATTTTACTCACACTTCGATGTTCAATTATTTATGAAAATGCCACCGCATTTTTTTTAAAAATCAGTGTTTCTCATCCATTAGATCTGGACACGTGGACGAACAGAATCCATTCCTATTTCACGCCTGGGCAAGCCATTCGCACCCGAGTGCAAGTCTATATATATATATATATATATATATATATATATATATATATATATATATATATATATATATATTGTGCACCCATGTCAGTATGTGACGGAACAGAATAATCCAGGCATTTGTATCAGTTTATTATATCAATCATAAACCTCATACGAGTTCATTCATAAACAATGTTGAATAGCTCTTGGCTGCTTATGTTTATTACATAGCAAATTAAGTATTTATACACTGGCATTTGAAACTAGAGCATGTATATCAAATAGTATAAGGAAAATGATCAAATACGCCTAAAATAAAATGAAAATACAATTGAACTCCCTAAATAAAAAAATTTCATTGACACCCCTTAAACTTAAAAAAGTAATAATAAATAAATAAAAATAAACAATGAAGTCCCAAATGAATTATTCAGCAGGTAACACACTTGGCGCTTAATCCAAATGTATAAATAATTATTTTTTAAAAATGATAAATCCAAATATAGAAACATTTTTTTTTATTCTCAAAATGTTTAGCTTTTTATTTTAAATTTTTTAAAAGGAGACCACCAAAGATTTGACTTTCTCCTAATTTAGATCTCTATAACAAAAGCGGTCATAACTCATAACTACCTTCATCATAAAATGGGTGAAGGTGGTCAAAAGGGAGACAGACAACCATAGCTTTCAATGGACAACTATTGGTTACTAATTACTAACATGGCTCTCTTTTTATTTTATTTTTTTTAAGAATTATTTAAAATTTAAACTAAAAATCTTTTAGAATAAAAAAAAAAAAATTGTACATTTACACTTGCACACTTGAATCTACATAAGTCTCATTATTCTACCACGTAAGCAATAACGTGACCGACAAATTATTATGAACCTAGTTACATATTTTCGCCAAGTTAAGAGGTTTGATGGAGATTTTTTTTAAGTAAGGACTCAATTTCACTATTTATTCCAGTTAATTTAAAGACTTATTTGACTTTTTTTTTTTTCTAATAATATACTTTGTTATAGTGATTAATTGATTACAGCTTTGCAATGGCATAAGGCAAGCTTGGTCTGCCTGGCAGCTGCAGATCTTTCCAATCTTCATCGTTTAACTTACTGAAGTAATGACTGACCATGTCATCAGTAACTAGTTCCAATTTGGATGGTTCCCACTAAACACAAAACATAGAAACATAAAAGAAGCAAAAGTTAAGGTTCAAGTTTGGGTACCAAACATGATAACAAGATTATGTAGCAGATGAATGTAAGGAACCTTGGGCTTTCTATCCTTGTCCAAGAGTATAGCTCTGCAACCCTGATTTCAATCAATGCTTTAGTTTCCTGAGAGCATTGGCAACAATACAATACAATACAAAAAGCCGAAGACTCCTTACATACCTCAACGAAATCCTTGGAAAACTCGCCTTTCAACACATGGCAAGCCATTCTAAACTCACGGATGAGGCATGTACCAATACCTTGCAGCCTCCCCTCCCTTATCTGAATAGCAATAGCAATAGCAATATATTATTTAAATGACTGGCTTTTAATCAGTAGGGGGTGTTGCTGTGTTGGAGAGTGCTCATCATTGTAACGTACCGATCTTAGAGAAATCCTAAGGCTTGTAGGTGATGCCTTCTTCAGTGATTGAATTGCTGAAGAAATCCAATCATCCTTGTTATTTGCAGCTTCACTTTCCTACAGATGTTAGTTAGTATGGGATTCTTCGCTGCCAGCTGAGATGTGATATGAAGTATACAGATAAAGGAAACGGGCATTTAGTAAGTGCTACTCTTATTCTTGCATGCTAACTTACAAGTGCAACCATGATTTCTTCAATGGTTCTTCGAGAGAAACAGCGATCAATTATCTTCAAACTGTACATACACAATCTTAGTCTTCAAACCTGTATTGTATTTAAACAGAACACAAAGAGAGAAAATGGACTTACTGGTTATACGGGCTCTTTTCTTTCAATTTTGGTACTTGTGAAAACTCAGTGATGATGGCAGAAATAATTGTTGGATCACTCAAATTGATATTGTGTAATGCTTCTTCCAAGGATGATAGCCTCTGCACAATAAGACAAAATATGTAGTCTAAATGGTGCTCATAGGAAAGGAGGATAGTGAAATACATAGCCAGCCAATTCAGCAGAAATTGTGAACATTGTTTAAGGGCAAATTGAATGCTAATATTTATTCAAATACAATTTAACAGGAACTTCGACCACACAAATTACAGGGATATATTCCTAGAAGCCTATTAATTTCAAAAGCAATATATTTGGGGCCATTGATGTTGATATCCAGAAGTCCAGATTAAACCAACTCCCTACAATATATTAACTTACAAGGATAGGCTATGTAACAGAATGAATGCAATTTAAGAAAACATTTGAATATGATTTAACCAAATCTGGTTTGTCAAATAGACAACAACAGACGAAGTCAAAGTTCTAAATGTGAGAATGTTGGGGCACCTCTGAAGGGACAAAATGAGTTGCAAGACCACATGCTAGCATTTCAGTACCATCCAACAGAGAACCAGTCAACCCAAGATATTCTCCTGCCGAAGAGGATATTAACGGAGTTAAACAAAGCAGACCTGAAATTAATTTGTGGCTGAAAGCCTGAAAAAGAGGCTTACTATGTTGGTCTTCCTACATATATCGAATAAGAATAATCATAAACCTAACTAAGATGAGAGATTAGAGAATGACAACAATACTTCCACTTAAATAACTTTATACCGGAATTATTTTGGGATATTGAAATGAATGTACACAGAGGAACAAGGACACTACTGGAATTACCAAAGAACCCAGGGAGTCTTGATAAAAAGTAAGAGGCACCCACATCCGGGAAGAGTCCTAAAGCTGTTTCCGGCATAGCAAAAACCTGCAAGAAAGCAAACAAAAAGACAGTTCACAAATCTCCAGTACAACATTGTAAATCATAGCTTAATCTAAAAGACATCAAATAATTATTCAGGCAAATAAATAATCCATTAGATGAAATTTTTCATATCTGATTGCTATTCACAGAATCCAAAGTCTTCCACAGATGCATAATTACATTACACTTGGTTCAACCTTAATCCATATAAATTATGCACATAATTACATTGTTGATGAAATGGTTAAGTGTGCTAGATAATTATATTGTGGGAAAAGGGTCAAATACACCTACAAACTTTATCTAAGAAGTCAATTAGGCCCTCTAACTTTTGAAAGTTGCAATTAGACACATTAACATACAGAGTATTAATTTTTAGTGCATCAAAGCCCAAAACCCTAATTGTGACCTGCAATAGCAGGTCAACATTCCGAAAAGCGTGGCCTTTTACGGCGACCAAAGGACAGAGATGGCGACCGGTTTGGTCACCGTCTCCGTGTCACGCTTTCCGGAGCTCCATCGGTGCATTATTGACCTGCTATTACAGGTCACTATTAGGGTTTTGGGCTTTGATGCACTAAATTAATATGTTAATGGGTCTAATTGCAACTTTCAAAAGTTCGAGGGCCTAATTGATTTCTTAGATAAAGTTTGAGGGTGTATTTGACCATTTTCCCTTATATTGTTGATGGCGCGTGGATTGATATAATTATGTTGAAGGTTAAATGTGTTTGACGGTTATAATTGGAGTTCTGATGGTTATGTGTGTTGACAACATTCCATACAGGGGTATATAAAAAAACATTATTTATATATATAACTAAAATCTATCAGTTAGCTTCTAGGTATTAAGTTCTCACAAAATCATTTATTCACTAAAATCCCTAGCATATATCACTTTGTCCCAAATTTCTACTGCTGTAAAACAATATTTTAATGATGTTACATGAACTATAAGTGGTATTTCAGTCGACTTATTAGGCTAAAGAAATAAATACCGATTTCTCTGTAGCAACTCGGAATCTACCATGTATACTAAGGCCTGCTCCACCTCCAAAGACAATTCCATTAAGAATGGAAACCTTCACATGCCATTGCAAGAAAGTGTAAGAAGATTCTCAAAAGGGAGGGAATTTAGGGAAAGTAAAAGAAAGTGCATATATCATAAGAAACCTGGGGTTTGCTATAAGTTGACACTGCATAGCACACGGTGAATTTCTTTCTGAATACTTCTGTGCCCAATTTCCAGTTGCCTAATACAGAAAAGCAATAGGAAGGTCATCAGCTTTGCGGAGGACCAGAGCCTACTATCAATTGCAGAAGTTGATGAGCACATACATGAAACATAGGAAAATAATATCTACAAACATGTGAAAAAACAAATCAAATTGATGAAGAACATATACATGCATACATTTATACATACATATAATGCATATATGGATAAATATATGTATATAGAAACATCCTTTCGCAATCTAGTTAGCTATATACTTATGATAAAATGACCTACCATGTCTAACATCATGAGCTATAGCTGCAACATCACCACCAGCACAAAAAGCTCTTCCAGTGCTCTGCTAATAAAGAAACTTGTTAAACACTAAAGCAATAGGAAATAAGAACTTCTAAGTGGGCAGATAAAGCATAGGGTTCCAATGTTCCATGCTTCTCTTAGTGGTGTACTAAAGTTCTACTAAAAAAAAATCAATTCTTTCTAAAAGTAATAATCCAGAATATATAACATAAAAATGTATAAGGAAAACGACTTAGGCTCATGAACAAAAATCATTTTACTACCCTATATCCAACGTTCTTTACAAAAAAGGTGTACTGGCCTGGTAGATTAAATGTAATAACTATGCAGCCAAAACATACCTTCAAAATAACCAACTTGACATTTGAATCTTTTTCACAGGCTAGGAAGAGTTCTAATAACTGAGATATCTGGATTAAGCAATTAAGTTTGAACAAATAGTTACAAAACAAAATCAGCATATGATAATTACTTTAAATAAAAATAATGATAAGATCTTAATTTATGCATAGCAAAAAGACACATCCTAGGAAAAATGACCAGTAAAATAGTAGTAAAACGAAAAGAAATGAAGAGAGCATCTTGTATATTCAAGAAAAAACCGGGATAGAAGGAAGAAGAACAACACAGTTAAAAATATCACAGCACTAGTCATTTAGGCATTCAGCTAGTGTAAACAAGAATTTCATTCTTTACAAGTTTACAATACATCATAAGGATGAGGAAACGGTTAGAAAAGTTGCACAACAATCCTAGAAATTAAATGCCACTAAAACCAAATCCTGAGTGCTTAGTGAGTACAGAAACTACACATTCTATTTTAGAACAAAAAAAAAAACCAACTTAAACAATCTGACAATGATAGGTGCTTTTTCTTCCCTAAACTGATAATTGATAGAATTACATTTACTGAACTCATTGACCAATTTAATCAAGCAATCAGAAAGTAATATTTGCTCCCACATTCACAAAACTGAAAATAAAAAGAAAGCAGTCCCTGATTGGAGCAACCAACTCAAAAATACTGGAAATATACAATACAGCTTTGGGAGTTTTTTAGTAATGTGGCACTGGTGCATATATTGATCCCTTTGAAACATACCATTGCAGAAGAAAGTGCATTCAACTGCTTCGGTCTGTTTAGTATGAGTGTTCTCACACATCCCGTCTCCTCGACAAGGACCTAAACATCGAAAAGCAGTAACTGATGCTTAATAACTAAACAGAAATTCTAAAAATTACATATGTTTAAAGACAACTATATTTATGCTCGTCAAATGATAGGTAATCAGAGCAGGGAGTTCCATTAACAAAACAGATATCAATTGATAACGAATTAGAGTAACCTGATCGGTGTCGCTATTGGAAGAGAGTGCAACCATGCTTTTGTTCGTCTACTCTTCTTTGAGTTTGTAATGTGGTAGAACCTCAGAACGATAATCTCAAACTCACAACTGGAGAGTGGAGAATGGAGAGAGAACCAAAGAGAAAAGTTTGTGATGTTGTAAAACCTCATAACGATAATCCCAAACTCACAACTGGAGAGTGGAGAATGGAGAGAGACCCAAAGAGAAAAGTTTGGAATGTTGTAAAACCTCATAACGGTAATCCCAAACTCACAACTGGAGAGTGAAGACGGGAGAGAGACCCAAAGAGAAATGTCTGTCTTGACTCGGTTGACTTGAAAACTGAAAATTTTCTACAACGTCACCAAGGTTGCACTCCCCTAGTCCCCTGGGTTGTGAGTCCGAATTTTGGTGGAGGCGTTAAGTTGAGAAATATTACATTATAATAGAGTTAGTGGTACAAATTAAAAATTTTCTACAATTCTTTAGAAAATTAGAAAATTGAAAAACAAAAAACATGTTTATTAGTACAATATTCTATTTTGAAACAGGAACCAATTTTCCAATTTTCTAGAAAATTTAAACAAAAAAAAAAAATTGGAAACAGAATCATCTATCATCTATTTGGTTATATGTCACTATAACCACATTCTCATTATTATCTACTTATATATTTATTCATTAATATGATTACATTCATTAATCATTATCATCTTCTTTTACTTATCACTATCTCTTATCTTTTCTACTTGCATTACTTATTTAAACATAACTATTTGCTTACGCTTAAAGTTAGACATTATTCACATTATCAAAATTTAAAAACAAACTCTATACCAAGTTTTATATTTTGATTGAACTCAATTGATTATTAGTTCGGATATTTTTAGTTATGTTATATCGTAATATAAGTTTAGGCCGGATATCGGATATTGAAATTTCACATATATTACTATATTAGAATTCAAAATAAAAATTATATATTTATATAGAGTTAATACCCAAAATAGTCCCTCGACTATGTCGTAATTACCAATTTGGTCATCGACTATCATTCTTACCCAATTAAGTCCTCAACTATACAATTTTTACCCAATTTAGTCCTTTGTCAATTTGACTGTTTGTTGACTGTCAAAAGTGGAAATAAAGTTGTAATTTTACAAGTTTTCTCCTTCCTCCTCATTTAGCAGCGCCAAACCATGTAGCAATAAGCTCCGGTTGGGTTCTAAACCTGTCAGTATCGAAGTAGTAGTGGTTATGCATCGGATAGCCCATGAATTTGATTTCCAACGATTTTTTGACGATCGAAATCTGATCGAAGTGTATTGCTGCATGGTTTGGCGCTGCTAAATGGAGAGGAAGGAGAAATCTTGTAAAATTATAATTTTATCCCGACTTTTGACAGTCAACAAACAGTCAAATTAATACAGAGGACTAAATTGGATAAGAATTGTATAGTTGAGGACTAAATTGGGTAAGAATTGTATAGTTGAGGACTTAATTGAGTAAAAGTTACATAGTTGAGGACTTAATTGGGTAAGAATGGTAGCTGAGGACCAAATTGGTAATTATGGCATAGTCGAGGGACCATTTTAGGTATTAACTCATTTATATATATGTCATTCAAATGAATATATTCAAAATTATTTTAAATATTGCTCAAAAATATTAAACTAAAATTTTGGTGAACTTAATAGGTTATTGGTTCGGATATATTTTTAGTTAAGTTATATACATATATAAATTTGGTTCCTTTCAAAAAAAAAAAAAAAAAAATCGTTCCTTATGTACCTTATGTTATAAATGTTGTACTACATAATTTTTTGGACAAAAATATTCCTGCCGTTATAACTTCTGTTATCTTTTCACATTATTATTACCATGCACTGCACATGCATACACAATATTTTTTTCTTACATTCTTCAATGGATAGTTTGATTTTATTTAGTTTTTAATTAAATGTTACCATAGTTATATTTAGTACTCCGTAATATATCATTTCTATAATTCTTATTTCATTAATATTAATATGAATTCTACAATTATAAATAATTATTTAAAAAAATATTTTAATATAACTAAGATTTTAACATTAAGTATTAATATTAGACATATATTTTTGCGCATCACACTATGAAATACTAATTCAATTATAAGTTGCAACATGTTAAGTTTTGGCCTATCTACTCGTTAGTTCTCGTGTGATGCTTGCACGGTTATACACTCGGAATTGCGTATATATATATGTATGTATGTTTGTACGTGCATAGAGGGAGAAAAGGGAGGAGAAGAAGAACATCAAGCTATAGTATAACAATTATGTAAGTGTGTCCCTTTCATTCACCTTCACCCACTTTATATAGTGGTTCATACAATGCAACTCTTCAACTACACAATCACAAACAATACATTCAATGAAAACATATAGAGTCTTAGTAACTTAATGACCGTAAGTATAATAATTATAACACAACAGAATAGTTTTAAGGTGGCGTATTCCATCCTCAATTCTAACGGTTACTTATTATCCATTGCCTAATTAAGTCATTAATTGTAGTTTTTTTATTGGCCAACTAACTGCCACTTTACATACAATACATAGTTGCACGACAACGTAACTACCGGCCGGCCTGGTAACGAATTCAACTTCTCACTCTTCAAGATTCCACACGCCAGTAACCCACCCTCACCTGCCAAGTTTTCTTGAAAAGTACTCAATAATAATGCAAATTAAACCGATCGAAATTCTCTTCCCTTCTGGCCTTCTACATACTAGTTCAGGCTGCAGGTATTATTGCATGTTTAATGTTTAATTTAGATCAGGCATTCATATTCCACTAGCCTAGCTTAGGCCGCCCACAATATTATTTGGTCAGTCTCTTAGCTTTCAGCCAGCCAGGCCAGCCAGCTAGCAGTAATGGGGAAGGAGGAGGAGAAGAAAATAGAGGTAATAACTGCAGTTTACAGAGTTCGTCTGCACTGTCCGCAATGTGCACATGACATCCGGAAGCCTCTCTTGAGAACTCCAGGTTCCTAATCTCCTCTCTTTTAAACATACATACATACAACCTCGAGGTGTGGTTGAGTGGAAGGTCTGTATTCATCTATCCTTAGGTATGAAGCAGCCTTAAATCTCCAGACTAGCTGTCGCACCAAAAGAGGTGCGACCTACAATTTGACCTACAATTCAGCGAGAAAATATAATTAGTCACTGTATCTGACGCGGAAAACTCTGGGTACACTAAAAAAAAAAAAAAAAAAAAAAAAAAAAAAGAAAAAAAAGAATACATACATACATGTAGCATGCTATATACTCTCAAAAGGAAGATCTCTACGTTTGCTAATTTTAGTGTGTGTATGTATGTACATATTTAAAATAATATTACATTCTGGATTCAATTGTATCAAACATTAAACGGCATGCTCAGTAACAATGCAAGAAAAATAGTAAAATATCAACGAGTTGCGCAGTGAGCACCGATCTAGCCTCTGTGGTTTATATTCAGTTGAGTTACTATGATTTACATCCTCCCAAATGCTCTGTCGGGTTGGGATGTGGGGGCCCTTAGGATTGTAGTTCAGCCTTGGAAGAATTAAATAGCTAGTTACAATTTAAATATTTATGGATTTCAATGTTTACTTATAGAATTGTAAACACTTATGGATTTTAGTAATTTATTTACGGAATTTTTATTGGTAAATTTATTTTTTCTTGTGGTATAAATACATTTTTTAAAAATTTTTTGAAATAAAAATATTAAATGAATATTGAGTTTAAGTTGAAAAAATAGAAAAAAAAAATAGTAGAAAGTTGAAAACTCTCTAAGAGATCATAACTTTTCAACTTAGAAAACGCATGTGAATAATACCTTTGCCCAAGTTATATAAGTTTCTTAGTTTTTTTTTTTTTAAATAATATATATATATATACATTTTTAAAAAATTTCCCCATTCTCCCATCCACTTTTGTTTTAATTTTCATTGTGTTTTTTTATATAGTTAATGAAAAATTAAAGAACAAGGAAAAATTATGTTGGGCAATTACCTCTCTCAGTGAAAAATTATCCTCATTATTAGTTCAAAAAATAAAATAAAATTCTATCATTCCATAAATACATCATTTATTATTATATTATTATCTAAAATACTTTTTAAAGGAAGATAAGTTTTAATTCATTAATTATACTTATATACACTAAGTGGTTTGTGGTCCATTGGTATTTGGTATTGGGTTGCTCCCCTAAGTGGGAGTTGATAGGTTGGAACCTCAGTTGAGGTAAGTAGTGTGTATATGTAGGGTATCATTTTCTTTATAAAAAATTATACTTATATTTTCCCCTGGCTCTATAAGAATGTAGTGTCTGTTCATATATTTTCTCAAACTACTGAAACACAAAGAACCAATAACGCCTCCACTAAAGCTCGAACTTATAACCTTCCAAATGGAAGTCCAACCCAAGTACCATTAGACCACATAGTCTTGGTACATATTTTCACCTTTAATTGTATGTAAAGTGGTAATTGTAATCTTTTTTTCTTTTTTTTTTTTTGATAACTAATAAATTTAATAGAATTTGTTAGTAATTGTAATCTATTACTAACAAATTCTATTAAGATTAACATTGCACTTTAAAATTTCAAATTATTGAAGGACAAATTAGTCATTTCATAGAGTTTTCAAAAATTTTCACAACTAAATCCTTTTATATATATATATATATATATATATATATATATATATATATATATATGCATGTATTATATGCCGATTCTCTTCATTCATAATGAATAATTGTTAGTTTTATAAGATTTATAAACATGTGTCTACATATCTTTAGGTTCAACATTAAATGTCAATTTACTGGTTAGAAAATGAATTTATTTTTCTAAATACTCAATCTATACTTCTATGGTAAAATTTGTATGATTGGTTTCATATTTCTACAATAGTGTAACATATGAATAATATGTCTTATTTGTAATGTTTTTGTTTCTTACATATAAATTTTTAAAAAATATTTAAGCAAAATTGATGCTCTAATGATCACAGGCATTGATTTGTGAATTATAATATGTATATTCATATCGATTTTTCATATTAACATTTCTTTATTTGAGCAAACTATTTCATAACATTTCAGAACTCTTAGTTGAATTAGATTTCTTATCAGGCTCTCCAATCTAGGCTAGTCATTAGTCAATACATAAGTAATAGAATAGAAACATTAGTATTAATTAGTATTTAGTAGTAGAAGGGAATCGTGAAGTCTTGA